CCGTAGTCACATGGCCAGTGCTAGTTAGACACGGAACGCTGTTACCTTCCCACCGAGGTGGTCCCTATTAATCTACTCGCATTTGCATGCTTTCGAACCGCTAGGTTGGCGGGAGCTAGGACAAGTGGCGAGCGCCCACTCCGTCTTGTGGATTCGATCTTACGACTGTTTGGTCTTCTGACCCTGCAGCACAGGCTTCTGCGGTTTAGCCCACAGCGCCACCACATACCTACAGAGGCTGAATAGTCAAAGCTAAGTTTTCTTAAATTTGGGGTTAGGCATTTGCATGCTTTCGAACCGCTAGGTTGGCGGGAGCTAGGACAAGTGGCGAGCGCCCACTCCGTCTTGTGGATTCGATCTTACGACTGTTTGGTCTTCTGACCCTGCAGCACAGGCTTCTGCGGTTTAGCCCACAGCGCCACCACATACCTACAGAGGCTGAATAGTCAAAGCTAAGTTTTCTTAAATTTGGGGTTAGAAAAAGGGGGGATTTTATAAATGGGGTGGGTGTTATAAACAGAAAAATACAGTACATTCATGAGCAGAGTGATATATGACACCTTAAAGCACTGGTTCTTAACCTTTGTTACTCAGATGTTTTTGGACTGCGACTCCCAGAAGCCTTCACCATCAGCTCTGCTGGCTTGGGTTTCTGGGAGTTGCAGTTCAAAAACACCTGAGTAACAAAGGTTAAGAACCACTGCCTTAGAGCAGTGGTCCCAACCTTGGCTCTCCAGATGTTATTGGACTACAATTCCCAGAAATCCTGGCCTATACTCAGGAGATGAATGTAACGTGTTCTGAATAGAGGATGTGGAACAGCATCTAGTGTGGCTGAGAACGCCAATTCAAGAGCGACAATTCCTTTCACACTGAAGACAAATACAATCTGTCCCATCCAGCTCCCTGATTTTGCTGGTTTCAGGACTGCCTCTTTGCCTTGGCCTGCTGGAGAAATGTCTCTTCAAAATAGGAGAGAACATGATGCACCGCCTGCCTCCAGGCTCAACGCTCAGAGGTCAAGGTTTCCCATCTGTTGAGGTCCATTCCTAAGGCCTTCAGATCCCGCTTGCAGATATCCTTGTATCACAGCTGTGGTCTCCCTCTGGGGCAATTTCCCTGCACTAATTCTCCATAAAGATCTTTTGGAATCCGACCATCAGCCACTCTCACATGCCCAAGCCAATGTAAATGTTGCTGTTTCAGTAATGTACACATGCTAAAAATTACAGCTCGTTCTAGGACTCTCTATTTGGAACTTTGTCCTGCCAGGTGATACCAAAAATGTGTAGGAGGCAACACATATGGAACATGTTCAACTTCCTCTCCCGACGTGCACAAATGGTCCAGGACTCACTGCAGTACAGGAGTGTGCTCAGGACACAGGCTCTATAGACTTGGAACTTGGTATATGCCATCATCCTATTAAGCCACACTCTCTTTGTGTGTCTAGAGAACATGGTAGCTGCTTTGCCAATGCATTTATCCAGCTCGACATCTAAGGAGAGAGTGTCAGAGATCATTGAGCCAAGGTACCCAAAGTCATGAACAACCTCCAATTCATGTGTGGAGATGGTAACAGAGGGAGATGAGTCCACACCCTGGTGTAGGTTTATGGGAGTTTTAGTTTAAGAACATCTGAGGACCATTGTCTCAGTGATATATAATACTTCAGCATCAACATGATATTTGACACAGTTGACAAAGAATCAGATACTTATAGCACAAACCATTTATGTCTCTTGGCCATTACTGTATGTTCCTTCTTTGCTATCAGCCCAAAGTGCAGTATAGTACAGTTCTCAACAGTCAGTCTGCAAGTAGTACCCTGATGATATCCAACTAATCTAGAAATTTACACTATTACAAAAATCTATTTCTGCTTGATGCACCATTTCCACTTTAAAAAATAATGTACAGTTGCAAAATGAGAATATTGGCCATACATCTCACCTCCTCTCAAATTATCCCTATTAAAGAATTCTTGGCAATATTGGAAAAGAAATAAATAAAAAGAAATCAAGTCTCCAAAATCTATTTTCTTTTACCATGGAAGAACTTTGCAGCAGGATTAGTACAAGCTTGCCACCCAGTGTTCAAACATGGCACTTCGTATGAATCAGTCATAACCATATTTTGAGTATGTAAAGGGAAATAATTTTCAAGTTACTGAAATGCCAAACTTTGAATCTGGCCAAGCTGGCCAAGTCTGCTTTGACTAAACTGGACACAATGTATGTAACAAGTTGCAAAACCATATATCATGGGTCATAAAGCATAATGTACAAAACATGTCATGAAAAAAATCTAGTGCATCTTGAAAATCCTGTTCAAGTCCTATGTTGTCCATAATCAAAATGATGTTTTCAAAGGATCCATATGCTGAGTTCTCACATAGATCTTGCCAGACCTCAAATTACGAAGTCTGTATACTGCTTTTTCCGAGTGTTATATCCAATCTCACTGAGAAAGTGATTCTTAGACTCAAGATATGAGCAAAGTCTTACCTGCAACTACACACCTGTAATGCAGATCCTTCCACCATACAGACCATGAGAAAGCAATGGCTTAAGTCTGAGGTGGGGAATGTGCCACCTTCCCAATGATGTTGCACTACAGTTGCCATCAGCCATAAACCAGAAGTACCAGTGATGAGGGAATGATATGAAGTGCAGAATGATACACCTGAAAGTTTACACCACCTCTATTTCTGGCTTAATTCATGCACAAATCAAAAGTTGAATGTTGAAATATGATTCTGATGGGTATTAAGGTCTCTGATCCTCAATCTTTAGACAAGAGAGTTTTCAAGCATTGGAAGGAGCACAGTTCACATTAAAAATCAGAGAATAAAAAGCTTAGAAGCAGAGTTCTAAACATTAAACAAATACCATAGCAAGGAGAGATTCATGTGTGAACATCAATCAAGGAAAAAAATATGCACACACACAAACCCCATTTAACTCTATTACAAGAAAACAAGAAGTAATTGCAAGGTTGGGCGACTGGCATGGAAAAACAGATCTAGGAGGAGAGGCTAATACTGAGAAACAATAACAATGGACGACTTCTCCTTATTTCCTGTTCTTTATATACCTAGATTGCACACCCATCGGTAGGGGTTATCTTCCATTTTACTTTTACTGTATGTAAAAGTATAAGCAGAACTATATCATGATTGTGACCCCCCGCAAAAAAAGGCACATGAGGACCATTTATGTAGATCCATAAATGGTATAACTTTTGGAGACAAATTACGCCAAGTTTAACTATCATGGTAGACATTTTCAGTTGCACACATACAATTCAGTATGTAACAGATCATGTCTATGGTGATTTCTTAACTTAGGAAAGTTACATTGTTTGTGTTACACCAGCATAACTTGGTAAGAGAATTTGGGTCATGAAATTCAGTCCTCAAGGACCGCTCCTAAAAGTATGCTGCATGTCTGAAAGACGCGATATACTCTGAAACGACATGTTTTGTGTATTAAAATCATATTAAACAATCTGTATTCACATGCAAACTGTCAAAATTAGATTTATGCTTTTTTAAAAAAAACATTCATAATCAATTTATTAAGTTTCGATTCACTAAAATAAGTGAAAAGATAGGGGATACTATACTAAAGAACGTTACCATTTGTTTATCAAAGAAGCAAAATCATGAATAGTTTAAAAGGGGAAATTGCTTATGTCCCTATGACTACATATCACACATTGTCAGGGCAATTTCTTCAAAACTAGGCACTTCCTCATTTAAGCAAGTACGACAAGAAGCCTTTTTAAAAACAAACCCATACACTGTGAAACAAATAGATACACTTTTTAGAATTAGAAGAAAATCTCTAATTTATGTAAGTGTTTAGATATGTATTTTCATAAACGTATACTTGACTCTATTAATTACCTTATATTTGAGAGGGCAAGAACTGTTAATATTCTTATAGGATGTGATTCCTTCTTGCACTGATGCATTTCAGTAAGAGCAACAGAATTGTAAGTGTTAAAATTTTATTATTGTGCCTTGTAATAAAAAAAGTTACCTTCTTATTTCTTGCCTGAAACACAGCATATACGGCATTTACAAATAGACTGTACTTTTCCTTTTAAATTTGTAAATAATTTATAGTATTTGCAATTCAGAGATCTCTTATAGGATATATTAGCTACAAATGGAGAAAATGCATGCAGAAGGGGCCCCCCTCAACATATAATTGCCCTTCTGTGATGCATTCCATGGAACCAGAATAAAAGGAGTTTAACCACTATTTTGACTAGAATTATTACCAGTCAGGCTAATTTTCCAGAGACTTTGTATTCAGGTGCTCCATAATTACAGAATGAGGATTAGAGAAAAAATAAATCTTTAAAAGCTAAAAAAGGGGATCAGCAACTAGAGAAGGCTAGCACAGAACTGTATCACAGCCACCTTCAAGGACAGAAAAAAAAAACAGCAATTGCACTGGGGACAACTATATGTTACCTCCTCAAGACAAACATGTAAAATTGTAGCTACTTCAGAGTTAGATGGATACATTTCAGTGTCTTTCCACTTTTCCTCAGTGTTGTATGGTGCATGTCTTGGGAGGCGAGAGACCTGGCAGATACGAGTTCATCTTCAATCACAATGAATAACCGGGCTCATAATCCTGAAGAAAGGAACATTCATATGTACGGGAATCATTTGGAGTAATACCAAGAAACAAAGGGCACAAGAAAATGCAATTCCACAAGGGATGATACATACAGCTCTCTTAAAAAGCAGCTTATGCTTAGTGAGAATGACAATATTCTGCTCTAGAGCTTAACTCATTCAAAGCTGTGTGTTGTCTTTAATTCTTACTTTTAAGTGAAACATAATACTGTACGTATCAGACTTGAATCCTCAGTTACAATGCAGGCAAGGTTTCAACTGAGGGTTTTGCCCTGTTAGGGAGCAATGCAACTAGCATGTTGCTGCTCTGGCTGGACAGAATTTATTTGTTTTTCTAGTCCACTCTATCCCAAGAATTCAAACATGAAATGTGGCATTATCTACATTTCTGTATAAAAAGATGACTGAAGTAATAAAAAGAAGTATGACCATAATCAATGTGCAAACTAAAAGATGGGAGTTTCATTATTTACAGGCATTCATTATATACAGTGAAGACATTAGGCAGGTATGAAAATCACTCAAGATATTTAATACAGTGCAAACCAAAAATTCTTATTTAAAATAAATTTATGTTTGTGTCTGAATGGTATATTGGTTATCACAAATAGCAATCAACATCCAAGTGCTATGTAGAAAAATGTACAGGTAGAATTAAAATGTAAATTTCATCTACTTCCATCAGGAAGTTGCTTTATCATTCCCAATCTACCTTGCCAATCACAATGGGAACAGTAACCCAGTTCAATGTAGTGATAAGGAAAGCATCAGCTGTCAATGCTGGCAATGGATGTAAATACACAAATAAAAGCCTAATGCATTTGATACAACTAAGCATAATAAGCCGACAATGGCTTATGACTTTCCTTCTGAAATGCTTTACAAGACTTTTAAGAACTTGTCACTCAACTTAAGTTACAGGCTTCACATCCCAAGTCAATCAGACTCAACATGGCCAGAATTTGGAAAGAAGGTCCAGCAGTGGCATTAGCAAAGTCCAGAAGTTGAATGTTGGAATCTTGCCAGTAAGATTTATTATTTAAAATAATAGAACATCCTAAACTACAGGCAACTTTCTTCAGAAACTTTTGCTTTCTTTGCTTATACCATGCTATGCAGAATGCAATGGCCACAGCTTTGGGCTCGAATATAGACATTGCGCTTAATGATGTCTCCCACCCATACATGCACCTGTAGCGACAGGCGGCCAGAGTCCTGATTGTTTCTGTTGCTGGCAGCTAGTGCAGTTACATGTTTTCAGCCCAAGCTTCTAGTTCTTTCATATCATCATCCTCTTCTTCTTCTTTCTTCTTAGCTAGAAGAGACAAAACAGCACAGAATTATTTACTTGACTTTGAAGTTTTGATTGTTCATCCATGTACAATCCACATACTAAATTTCTTACAAATCACACAATCCATGAGATAGCCTACTGAGCTGAAACAGTGAACTGGGGCAATATTATTCTAACACAGATGGAAAATTATGTATGACAATAATATGACATTATAAACTTTGAAGAAAGAATCTGATACAGATAAAAATTTGGCTTCACCAACCTTCCTATAATAAGCCCCAAAGCACACATCCCCAGATTTAAAGATAAGCTTGATCTGAACATCCCTGCCCCCACACATGGAACACATAATGGTTAAATGCTCCTTTCTGTATGATGTGCCCCATTCATGAACAACATATTCATGCTGCCACCACCAGAAATAATGTGATGCAGCTACAATATAGTAAAGTAGTTTTAATCAGCTCCAAGTCGAAATGCATGTTTATATTTATTATCATGCCAAACATGGTAACTCTCATACTAGCATTATGGGTAAGAACATTTTGCCAAAATGCTTCGCTTCGCTTCGCTCACTCACTCACTCACAAATAAATAAATAAATAAATACCGTAAATAAAAATAAAAATAAAAAATGAAAAATGAATGAATGAATGAATGCTGTTTTCAGTCCTGGGAGAGGTAAGCAAAGTATGCAGTTCTTTCAACTTCACAGCTAATGATTAGGTTGCTAAAAGGACTCCGAAAAGCATCCTTAGGAAGACCCTCTTTCTCCATGTGTGACATATATGGCATGAGACCACAAAAGGTATAGTACATGCCAGAGATTCTGGTTTACAGGAAAGATACATTTCAAGAAATGCAGAACACAATTGTGTTTGTTTAAGCCAGTCGTAATTTGTAAATGCCTTTCAACCTATTATCACACCATAACTATGTTATAAAAACAAGAAAATAAATGCTGATTCAAGTTGTTTTTATTGGAAAAGAGATCAGATTTTTTTTCCTGAGAAACAGTTTCTGGTTGTATGTATTACATGCAACTTATGAGACCTGGGACAACTTTGTGAAAACTACATCTAATAACTTAATTGAAAAATATCAAGGACATATAATTATATGCTTGTTTGCCAAATATGTGTATCATGAAACTCTTGAAGTAGTCAGGCACCTACCTGGCTTTGAAGGTATAGCTATTGAGGGCACGTTGGGTAGTGGAACTGTCTCAGGGCCACTGATCTCCAGTAAGTTTTTGTCCAGTTCTTCCTGTTCTAGTTCCTCTAGCTCAGCCATCAATTCATCCTATTATTGAAGGAGGGAGAAGAACTTTGATTACACTTGCTCACATAAGCAGTCATGCTTGCTAATAATGTAGAAAAAGAGAACATCTAAACCTTCATGATTCATTCAACACTATTAGGTGTTCCAGGAATCTCAGGGACCAGAATCTTGTTGGGATTAAACAGCTCAAACGAGGAATCACGTCAGTGCTGTGCACAATCTGGGAGCCCAGGAAAAGCCAGGACAAGGCAGACTTGAAAAGTCAAAAACAGCCACTGGATTGCTGCCAGTGGAATTAGAACTGCTGCTGGTGATTTTTTATTATTAAAGGCCATCCATCCCCATCCTAAGACTCTGAAAGTCTTCTCCAAGGCAAAATGGAACTCTAGAGACCTTACAAATGTGAAGAACAGGGGTTAGGAAGCCTTTAATTATTTTCAATTTAATATCTTTGGTGCCAGATGATGACAAACCCTCATCATGGTTTGCTACAGAGGACTGGCTAGAGCATTTATATATCTAAATTAATCTGTATCTCCTAAGAGCTGGCTAGAGCACCAGACAAAAAAATCTCCAGATTTTCAAGCTGCAAATGCTCAATGACAGTATTTTAAATTTATCTCTGATCTTTTTCTGTTGACTGTTTTCTTAAAAACAGAATAAAGCCATTATTTTTATTTATTTTATTTTTATTTATTTATTAGATTTCTATCCCACCCTTTTAGACAAAGTCTACTATTATTACATATATTCTTCCAAATCATTATTCCTTTGACAGTAAGTGTACATCTTAATAGTATTTAGCTGTTCACTCTTACCTCATCAAACTCTTCACCAATTCCTACAGGCTTGGAAATAGCTGTTGAAATTTCATCAGCTAACTCCTGTTGCTCTGCAATGTCCTGCATTAGTTCGTCTACTTTGTCAATATCCCTGTAAGGGAAAAATTTGTTACATTTCACCCATTCATGTATTCATACAGTATGCCAACAGATATCCCTCAACGTTTTCATCATCAGCAATATTTTGTCAATATCATTCAAGTTATCTATAAGAAAAAACAGAACAGTCTAAACCAAGTTTTCTCATTTGAAATTAACATTTCCTTAGCAATAGCACATACTAACAGCCTTCCATAACAATTAACATGCTTTGCAACTAAATAGAGTCTTAATACAATCTAAAAGTGGTCCTGACCCGACCAGATAGGCGGGATATAAATAAAATAAAATAAAATGAAATAAAATAAGATAAAATAAAATAAAATAAAATAAATAAATAAATAAATAAAATAAAAGCATAGTCCAGCAGTTTTGGTGATAAAAGCTACATGGTTTTCATATTAATGATTACTTACACATAAAATGTGGGGAGATTAAGTATGCTCACTTGAAAATATTAATTCTACGTAGAAATATTAATTCTACGTAATACTCTTCTATGCAGAATATTAATTGTACATAGAAATAAGTTCCACTGTACAAAGAACTTACTGATGAGTTAAGCATGAGTTTACTGTTGAGTCAAATATGAATAGGTGAGCTGCAGAAGCCCAAAATTTTCTAGAAAAAGTAAATAGTAGTGACAGAGCAGAGTAGTATTTTTCCATATTGTTTGGATGATACAATTAGTTTTAATGCCCCAATGATAATAAAAGCTATGATTTAATATCTCAAATTCTGTGGTACTGCTACAAAAAATGTATAACTTTTGGAAAACTGTCCCAAGTTGAGAAATCTCCATAGGCTTTAATCAGCTGCATGCCCTGTCATGCAACTCAAGATGCAACAGGTAATGCCTACAGAAATTTCTCAACTTGAGGCAATTTGCCTTCAAAAGTTATATCTTTTACATAACAACCGTTGTGTCATTTATCCCAGCTAACACTCGTGAGCTGGCAAAACAGCCTTTGCTTCAATTTTTGACTGATTATTATGTTTTAAGTTTTGAAATGGAGAATTTAATATGTCACACTCAGCAGTATACTCTGATGTACGTAGACAAATACATAATAATCAAACAAGATTTTGATTTTAAGTTTTAAGTTTTCAAATGGAGAATTTAATATGTCACTCTCGGCAGTATACTCTGATGTACTGATTTTGAATAATAGGGTTACAATATGGTTAATTTGAATGACTTATTTATAAACCATAACGTTTCTTGTGTCACCTTCATGACTAGGGAGGTTAGTTTAGCATCAGCTTTCTTGCACTGTAGCACACATCTTCAGAGATACAGTGGGGTCTTGACTTAAGAACGGCTTGAGTTAAGAACATTTTGACTTAAGAACCGCTCTTATAGGAAAATATTGACTTGACTTAAGTACTGAGGTGCCTCGCATAGCGAGGTTAATTGGTTCCAAAAAAAACATCGCTATGGGAAAACATCGTTAAGTGAAACGTGTTTTCCCATAGAGATGCATTGAAAACCGGATAATCCGTTCCAATAGGAACGGATTATCCGGTTTTCTCCCCCACTATCGGGCGCAGCCCTTTGGGAGAAGCCTCAGGGGAAAATATCCCCCTCTAGTGGTTGAAGGCGGAATAGCAGCTTCCCATTAGTTTCTATGGATGGAAAAGAGCAGATACGGATCAAATGGTTTTCAATGCATTCCTATGGGAAATGCAGATTTGACCTGAGAACTTTTTGACTTGAGAACCGCCTTCCAATACGGATTAAGTTCTCAAGTCAAGACCCCACTGTATCCAAAAGAGCAGCCATATTAGTTTGTTATAGCAAAAACTGAGTCACATGACTCTGTTCACACAGTAAACTAACGAGAAAGACCATCTTACATGTTGTCATGTGCAGCCTTCATTGCTTTAGCAGCAAAGCCCATATTCTTCAGCACCTCAGTGTTGGTGTTGGCATTTTCCAGGGCTTCCCTCTGAAATTCAATTGTAGATAATGTGCCGTCTATTTGTGCAAGCTGTTTCTCATATCTCTTCTTTCGTTTTAGAGCTTGAAGTGCAGCTAGGAAAAAAACACAAAAGGAAACAGGATTGATACATGATGTGTGTCTAAACTGCACTTGGTAATAGTCTGCTCAGAATTAATACCACTTTAAATTTATGCTACCAAATAAGTACCTTTTTGTTCCAGTACAATCTATTCTCTTAGAGCTAAGCGAGTAGATAAATAGGGACCACCTCGGTGGGAAGGTAAACAGCGTTCCGTGTCTAAATCACACTGGCCATGTGACCACGGAAAGATTTTCTTCAGACAAAAACGCTGGCTCTATGGCTTGAAGAGCGGGATGAGCGCCGCCCCCTAGAGTCGGACACGACTGGACAAAAATTGTCAAGGGGAACCTTTACCTTTACCTTAGTCTCTATCAAACTACAAGATGTAAAGGCAAATGCAAGATACTCAGCATTGACAGAACACGGACTTGTGCACTTGAACTCTTACAGGTTTGCTGAAAATATAAAACACTGCTCTTTCTCTAAGATGTTCTGGCAAATGAGCCACTATCAAAAGAGAAACCCTTTTCAAAATGTTCAAGAACCTTAAGTAAAATACTCTCTTTCGTGTAAACAGTTTAATTTCTTCTACCTCCTTTACATACATAACCATCTGAAAAGATGACTAATAGCAGGAAAACAGTCCCTAAGGTGTCCTCTTCCGTAGTCTCACTGTATTGGCCTTTATTGGCTAAGTGCTACCCATGTGCATGCTCTCAATGGGTTTACAGTTTTTGGCTCCCTGTGACAGCCAAGTCAAAAACTACACTCAAGAGCTTAGTTTCCTCTTTCCCTCAGTCCAACTTGACAATGGCAAACACCTTTGTTCAACCATTTCTGTTAGAAAGGAATGGGAGGAACATCCTGGCTTTTGTTTCTCTTTTTTCTCCTACCTTGAAATTGGAGAGAGAGCAGGGATCATCATAAACCTGCTGGGATGATCTCTGCCCCCTTTCCAACTTCAACATTAGAAAGAAGGCTCATAATTAACTATACACACCGGTGGGTAACACCAAACTTAGCATAGCCTCCAAGCATTGCGCTCTCTAAAGTGACTTCATTTGCTCTCAACGATGCTACAGCGTAATGTCAAGTCAAATTATCCATACAAGACTATGATCATGCTCACTATATTATCTTTGATTACTTCTCCAGGAAGGACATGAAAATCTAACCAGGAAAACTGATGATGAAATACATCAGTAATAAATACTACAAACATGGGAGTAAACATATTGTTTTTCTAAAACATTCACATATATAAGGGATTTTTCTGAAAATTTTACTTTTACATCTAAATGACTCACTTTTAGGGCTGCTCTCATATCATGAATCATGATATACATCTGCTAGTTATCATGTAAAATGATACGTAAGATAATTATATATATAATTGTATTTACTGCTAGAAAATAGGAATTGTACTTCTTACAATACCAGGTCCGACATTTCACAGACAGCATGTTCTATTGCTCTGAATATTGATAAAGGTCTTATCAATAGAGATTTTGGCTACAACAGAACCTACACTGGCTTTACAAAGTAATAGCCTATCTATAAGGACAGGGCTAGACAAGAAATCTTCTCTGCCTTCAGATGATACTGTTGTGTAAGCAGCTATTCAGAACCTTAGCAAGAGAGGAGCAAAAGGGGCCTTGTCCCCAGACACCAAATGTAGAGGATGGAGCAGTTGCCCCTATGCAAATGAGCCATGCACCCACCCTCTACCTATGCTTCTCCCCCAGTTCAATACATTGATTTGCTTCCCTATGTCCAAGCAGGACTGTACCAGCACTGTTTGTGCAATGACAATGTTAAGATTGGCACTGTATGAGCACTTTGGAAAGGCAACAATAGAGGATGAGCCACTTGCCTTCTGTGATTTAACAGCTCCTGCCAATCACAGAAAAATAGCTCCACTGGGGAAGGGGGGGAAGAGAAAGGGCTAACCCAAGCCAATCAAATTCTGCCTTCCTCCAGCAAATCTAGGTCAATCTAGTCATTGCTAGAGAGTGTGGCCTTTGCACACATGGGAGAGAGGCAGCAGCACTGCCAAGACTTTGTTGGCTTCACCTACTCCCAGGGAATCCTGCACTTCATTTGCATAAAAATATCCAAGACAAGAGGATGTGGAAAGAAAGACAAGAGTGGTTTTGAAATAATGGGAAGATGAAAGCAACAGCCCAACCGATGGTGAGTAAAGTGAGGTCAGGTATGGGTGACAGAAACAGTTGAGGGAGAGCAGCAGAGACAGAAGACTGAGGAAACCCGGGCAGAGAGATAACAACCATGGAGGAAGAGTTTAAAAGGCAGGTTAAGGTACAGTACAGGAATAGATCTGGCAGTGTTAAAGATCCAGTTCTGGAGGACTGAGGAGAGAGGGGTCAGGGACTAGAGGTTGGCCAGAAAATTTTTAAAAAGCCAGGCTGAGACACAAATACTAAGGCAGAAGACAAAGGAAAGTCAGATTATGAGTCAGACATAGTGCAGGAAGCATTTAAAACCCCAGTGAGAAACAGTGTGGAAGAAAGCCACACGGTGTGTGTGTGTGGATCTGAAGAATACAGGGGCTGGTGAACCTCTGTTTTATAACTCTGTATGCATTTCGTTTGGAACCACCAGCTACAAGTGCAAGGGGTAAGCTGGTTCTGGCTTGTGAAACATTTTCCACTCTGATCAGAAGCCACTCTGCAGGACGTGGTGTTCTACTACTGCATCTAGGTAGCTCAGCTGCACCTTGCCTGCCTCCTTTCCCAACTTCCCTCCTCTTGCCCCTTTCTCCACCCTCGGTTGCTTCTGGTTTGTGAAGCAACAAAGGAATGCAAAAAGAAACTTAAAATAAATAAAAGAAAAGGAAGCATTAAGGTTGCAATCCTTATTCACATTTACTTTGGAAAGTAGGCTCAAATCAAAAAGTGGCATGCTCTGCCTCTTAAGTGAATACAAATATTTATTTATTTGCCTATAAAAGCAGAACAGGTATAAGGTAGATGTGAGTCTATTGGTAGGGACAGAAATATAGCAGAGAAATATATTAGGAAGTAAATTCCACTGAATACAGCTGGACTTGTTTACATGTAGACATGAATAAAATATCTCACAACTAACTCAGTGGGATTTGGTTAAGTTACACCCATTTATATAAAACATTTTTATCCAGCTCACCTCTATTTACACCATCTTCAGCAGCTTTCTACTTGATGAATTACATGTTTTGTACTAAAAACAGCTCTGCAGCCATTCAGTATATATATATAATTACTATAAGCAGAGTATAGAACACTCTGTATCAGCTCCAATCAATATTCCTGGGAAACCTCAGTGGCAACTGAAACAGTAGTATTAATGGTATATGTTTATTATATGTACATGTGTATTTTAAAAAAAGGCTTGCCAATTAAGAAACCAAAATTCTTCGACCCAACAAACCTGAATGAATGACTTGCCTCATAACAAGCAGTAATGTTATTTTAAAACTGTTTGTGGACTTTAGAAGACATCTTGAAAGAACGGATGAAAGAACATCCATCTCAAGAACAATATACAGTATTGCAATGAAAATTGAAATAATGAAAACTTCAGTGAAATTCAGTTCATTTGGAGAGGATGAGGGCAGACTTCATATATATCATGTGCTTGAGAAGCACTCTCTTGCCCCTGGTGCACATGGCTGAAAGATAAAAGGCAGATCTAAAGGTATATGGATCATACTGTTTAATCAATCAGTGACTACGCAGGAAGTTGACTTCACAATCACACTTCAACGTTCTTGTAGCCAGATCCAAACTTCAAATTTTTTACATACAGATGAGTCCCTGTGGCACTGTGTGCAATATTAAGCACCAAACTGATTCTTCAAATACAGTGGTGTCACGCAGTCAAGCCTCTGCTCACAACCTGAGTCCACTCAGTCTTCCATCCTTCTGCGGTTGGTAAAATGAGTACCCAGTTCATTCTGGTACCAGGTACTGAGCACTAACAAAGAGTTGAATACCAGCATAAACTTGTTTAGAGATGTACGCTTCATATTCATTTCCTGGGGGAGACGAATATGAAGCTCACCACCACAGTTGGCCAGTCCAATGGCATCCTTCCCCCCCAAAACCAGGTGTCCAGTTACCACTTGTGGCGTGGCAGTTGTCCTTTGCTTCGTGCCAACTGTGGAAGTAGCCGACTGGGGCTTCCCCACCTCCCTGTGCTGCTGACCAATCTGGCAAGGGGGCAGGATGACAAGCCTCCCTGCTCAGCTGCTGACTAGTCAACAGTGCATGGGGGGTGGGGAGGGCTCCAGTCAGGCTACTTCTGCAATTGGCATGATGTGATGAATGACGGCCATGCACGCCACAAGCGGTAAGTCAATGCCCAGTTTGGGGGGAAGGTGCTATTGGACTAGCCACCTGTGGTGGTGAGTTTCGTATTTGTCTCCTGGGGAGATGAATACGAAGCTTCCATCTCTAGTTGTGATTCTAAATTCCTGATATATGTTCTTGTTAAAGTCATCAGAACTTCCACATGATGACTACTACTAATAGTGTTGAAAATACATTACACTGTCCCAATTTCATGGAGGATACATACACTAGGAGCACATGTGGCACTTCCATGAAGCAGATGGTTTAGTCAGAAAAGAGATCTGATCAAAAACATACTTTAAAATAAGCATAACTTATTTTGAAGCAACAAAAACAAATTATTGTAATTTAAAAGAGTTTTTACATATAGTTTGTATAAATGCTAATAACGCACTAAACAATTTTTAGCTTTTTACTTTGAAAACTAGGGTCACCTTGCACTTTTAAATAATTTTTAATTATATTTGTGAAGGAGGTCCGAAGGAGAGCGTGCCGTCTCGGGAGACAGAGGGGGAAGTGGGAGAACTGGAACAGGTGAATGTTAATGTGGAATTGGACCCAAGGGAGAACGAGACTAGAGAGGGAGAGAGAGAAGGCGCTGAAAGGGGAAGGTAGAAATATGTCTCGTAGAGGAGAGCAGGAATAAGAAGAGGGAGGAGCAAGAACTGACCGTCTGGGAGGAGAGTATAAGTAGTCAAGGGGAGCAGTGGTTTCGGACGGAATTAGACAAGTGGAAACGTAAAAGAGAGCTGGAGAGACTGCAGGAGTGTAGGCATCCTTCAGTCTCAAGAGACTATGGTATCGTGCTCTGTATGGAGGTCTTGGAACAGTGTCTTGTGTGGCTGAGAAGGCCAATTCGAGAGTGACAATCCCTTCCACACTGGAGACAAATCCAATCTGTCCCCTGTCCAGCTCCCTGGTTTTGCTTGTTTCGGGACTGCCTCTTTGCCTCGGTCTGCTGTACAAGTGTCTCTTCAAATTGGGAGAGGCCATGATGCACCGCCTGCCTCCAGGCTGAACGCTCAGACGTCAAGGTTTCCCATCTGTTGAGGTCCATTCCTAAGGCCTTCAGATCCCGCTTGCAGATGTCCTTGTAACGCAGCTGTGGTCTCCCTCGGGGGCGGCTTCCCTGCACTAATTCTCCATACAGGAGATCTTTTGGAATCCGACCATCAGCCATTCTCACGACGTGCCCAAGCCAACGTAGACGGCGCTGTTTCAATATTGTATACATGCTGAAAATTCCAGCTCGTTCTAGGACTACTCTATTTGGAACTTTGTCCTGCCAGGTGATACCAAAAATGCGTCGGAGACAACGCATATGGAAGGTCTTCAGCTTTCTCTCCTGCCGTGCACAAAGGGTCCAGGACTCGCTGCAGTACAGGAGTGTGCTCAGGACACAGGCTCTATAGACCTGGATTTTGGTATGTGTTGTCAGTTTCTTATTGAGCCATACTCTCTTTGTGAGTCTAGAGAACATGGTAGCTGCTTTCCCAATGCGTTTATCCAGCTCGACAGCTAGGGAGAGAGTGTCAGAGATTGTTGAGCCAAGGTACACAAATTCATGAACAACCTCCAGTTCTTGCATGGAGATAGTAATAGAGGGAGGTAAGTCCACGCCCTGGCACATGACTTGTGTTTTCTTCAGGCTGATAGTTAGTCCAAAGTCTTGGCAAGCCTTGCTGAAATGATTCATGAGTTGTTGGAGGTCTTCAGCAGAGTGGGCAACAATGGCTGCATCAGGAAGTCCCGCATGCATTTCAGTTGGACTTTGGTCTTCGCTCTCAATCTATTGTTGTAGATCACAAGCTAAATATGAGCGAACAGTGTGATGTGGCTACAAAAAAGGCAAATGCTATTTTAGGCTGCATTAATAGAAGTATAGTTTCCAAATCCCTTGAGGTGCTAGGCCCCCTCTATTCAGCACTGGTTACGCCTCACCTCAAGTATTGTGTCCAGTTCTGGAAACCACACTTCAAGAAGAATGCTAACAAATTGGAACAAGTTCAGAGGAGGGTGACAAGGATGATCAGGGGGCTGGAAACCAAGCTTTATCAGAAAAGGATGAAATAATTGGGCACATTTAGCCTTGAGAAGAGAAGAGTGAGGGGTGATATGATAGCACTTTTCAAATATTTGAAAGGCTGTCGTACAGAGGCGGAGCAGGATCTGATCTCAATCATCCCAGAGTGCAGGACACGCAACAATGGGCTCAAGTTACAGGAAGCCAGATTTTGGTTGAATATTAGGAATAACTTCCTAACTGTTAGAGCAGTACGACAGTGGAACCAGTTACCTCGGGAGTTAGTGAGTGCTCCAACACTGGAGGCATTCAAGAAAAATTTAAGATAATCACCTGGCAGATATGCTTTGATTGTATTCCTGCGTTGAGCAGGGGATTGGACTTGATGGCCTTGTAGGCCCCTTCCAACTTCACTTTTCTATGATTCTATGAAATGATTAGGCTGCAAAATAACAAAAAAATTAACACAGGCTTTTCAATTTATGATATCGCTAAAATCCTTGTAAGATCAGTATTATTACAGCCATGTTACAGACAGGAACTGAAACTGAATGAGTGTGGTTTATTTAAGGCAGCTTCATGAGTATGACATGACCGAAAATGAAATTTAAATACAGGACTTCCAGATTTATTGTTACATTTTTCAGCTACTACACCAAAAGAGCTGTCAGTAATTCATGTCACAGAATGAAATATAACAATTCTGAAGCTACAATACCAATGTACTTTCTACCTATACAAAACAAGAAAGCATTTGTTAGATTATCAAACTAAGCTATTCTAAGCAATCTGCTGATGAATCAGATTTCCTATGGTTTTCTCTTTCTGGCTTTTGCCTAAAGTCACAACTAGAAAAAGCTGACCCTGTAAACAACATAAAGAAACTCAAAACAATCACACAAATTGCATTATGTTATAAAAATAAACTGTTGTATTATCTCTGCAGAAACTGTATTTTTAAAAAATACTACAAACATGCACATACCACTTTCAGAATAGTAGTGATTAATACATTGTCAGTAAGTAAAAAGCCCCAGCCAACATGAATATAACCCAAACTATAGCTTCACAGATCTTATTTAATATATCTTCAGTACAACTCAGGCTTAACTAAGAAATAAGTCATAGTGACGCTTATCTTAACAGATCAACTTGGAAGTCAGCTTCTATGAGGAAGTACAATATCTGAGTCAGTCTAGGCAAAACAGAATTACAGGTCACTTTGCAGATTATGTTCTCTCTCTAGGTCCTAGACCTTAAACAGAAACTTGAAGACTCAAACATATTGTGCCAAGGAAGAAACCTAAAATACAGCAGGTATTTAGAAAACATGTATTTAAGAGCTAACACCAAATCATCTTGTTCTCATTGTTCTACTGCGGCTATGGTAAACTATTATTTCAGTGCTATATGGGTGGTGCAAGTCTGGAAGACTACACAGTACAGCACATTACCAGTGCCATGTTTGGGGCTTAGAAAGAAGTCTAAGCAGCAAAAAATATTAAAGTTGTCACCCTGTGTTTGCATATGTCTCATTCAACAAAGAATATTCAAGGTAGCGCTTCTGCCAATGGTTAGGTGAACTTTACCATACAAGACTGCACCTGGCAACACTATCAGATGTTCAATCCTTTCTACTAAATGTATTTTAAGAACATCCAAACATTGAATATATTGTATATTTACTGTACAGGTAAATCTGCAACACTCCAGTGAAGTTCACACAACAGTCCTTAAGTGTCTGTAGTCTTTTTTTTAATTGATTCAGGCCAGCACACTGAGAAACTCCCAAACTTGTACTATATACCAAAGCCCTGTAAAATTCACAGAAATTTAAAAAGAATAACTCCGAGCAACGTGCTTTCAATTACAGGACTGTACCTTTGCAATCAGTTTTATCAGGAGGACACCTCAATAACAGATTCCAAACACAAGTTAAAAACTTGACATTTTTTTCAAGCAGTTTAGACTGAGATGCAGAGTATTTTGGCCCTGCGTTCTCTACCATACCATTGGCAGCTTTGTATGCTTTCTGTAGTCTGTGGGTTGGGCATTGGGCATTACCTTGAGAGGACATTATTATTGCAAACAAGCATACTTGAAAACAAGCCTTACCAGGCTCAAGTGGGGTTTAAATGGCAATGGACTGGGCTGGACGTTGTCTGAAAGGCACCACATTATACAGTATTGTGTTCACACAACTTTCAGCACAGCCCTTTGAGAGACAGATATAGATGGAACAGATAAAGCATCTGAGAAAGGGAGGGGGGGTTATTTTAAATACTTAAAGTACTTTTATTTTTCAACGGGTTACAGGTTTCCTTATTGCTTATCCTGGTATGCCATGTACATCCTAAGAGGCTTTAAACACAGGCACACAAAGTTTTTAAGTCTCTGAAATGCCACTAGGCTGTTTCTGCAACAGACTACTGTAACACCGGGACTCCTATGAGGTTGGATGTTTGCTTGGGATGATCTAACCAGACTTGGTGGCCATTCTTTCCTTCCGAAGCCTCCACGTACCAGATCCTGTCAGGGTCTCAACACCCATCTAGCAGCCTCAGTTCAGTCACAGCAGAGAAAAGGGGCGGCTGTTCCTTCTTCTTCTTCTTCTTCCCTCCCATCGCCTCATCGCCTCCTCATCGCCCCAACAGCCACCCAGCAGCCTCCACTCACCGCGCTTATTCTTGGTGCCGTGCTTGCGGGCCGCGGCCAGCTCCTGCTCGATCTTCTTCTCCAGAAACTCCTGCTTCTTGCTCAGCATCTCCTCGGTGTCGCGCAGCCGCTGGATGGCCTCCTGCGGAGAAGGCCCTTTCCCGCCGCCCTTCCCACCCGGGCCCGTCCCGAACAGCTTGCCCAACAGCCCCGACATGACCGGGCCTCTTGCGGACGAAAAACCCGGCGACCGAGAAACCCAGGCGCCCCAGCCCGGGACGGAGGGGAAGGGGACGGGACGGAAGGGCGTGGGGCAGCTCCCCCCCCCAAAGGGTGACGCTGCCGACTCCCAAGCCACGGAAGGGAGAACCGAGAACCTCGGGCTCCCCGCTAGGTTTGCCCCGAGCCCCTCCGAGCCAGCCGCCCCCTCGGCTGCCTTGGCCGGCCTAGGCCGGAATCCCCACACAGTGACCGCTCCCTGACACAAGCCCCCGCCACCCCGGCACGTCAGCCTCGCCTGCCCCTGGACTGACTCACGGCTCGGGAACAGAACACTCTCTGAACGTCACTCCAGGCGCCACGGCAACGGCCTTAAGCCCGCCCACTTTCCCCGAGCGGCGGCTGAAGAAGGGTAAATAGATCGCAAAGGCTCTCGGGAGTTGTAGTTCTTTTTTTAATGGGAACACCTTCATTCGCTTATCTTCAACCACCCTAGCCGGCCAGTTAATGAGAGCTAAAGGCAAGTAATGCTGCTCTAATAATAATTGAGGCTCTCTGTTTCGGAGTGAACGGGTGACTCATCCAAGGCTGGAGAAACCAAAACTTGAGTATGCAGTGAAGGCAAACAGGTGTAATTTCACTAAAAGTGTATTTTCAGTTACTACCATGATAGTAGTTTTCTATATCCTGTATATAGGTGTGTATTCCTTCATTGTGCTGCATATACTTGAAGTGTTCTGAGAAGTCTCCAGCGTTTCCCCAGAGATTCAGACTGCTTACAATACATAATAAAGAATTTTTCCTGCAGACTAACATTTTTAAAATATCTCCACCTTTGTCTCAGTGTGCCGTTCTGTGCATATTCTTTATACAATGCTTTTGTTTTTTTAAAGTCCCTCATCAAGAGCCTGCAATATTTGGAGAGGGGCTCCTTGCTGGTTTAACTGGAATATGACATAGTTTGTCAGGAATCACCAAGACCTTTAGTAGTAGGTTTACTACAGCCATAAAGACCATTAGCCATCGTAACTGTCATTTTGCAAATAAGCATCAATGAGTACTTTCTGCAGACATCTTAAATGCTAGTGTTTCTGTTGCTCTATCAGCATTCAGGTCCAATTGGCATTGCTGCCATGGTGGACACAGGGTAAACTCACCTGTTCTTCCATTTCTTTTTAGTGTCAGCAAAAGGTGAGGCAATGCAGATCAAGATAGAAATCAGTTTAGTTTCACCAGCAGCAAAAGGTAAAATTCAGTGTTTAGAATTAAGAAGATTGAAAATGAAGTAGAAAAGTAACATTTTACATGATTATTCTACTTCAAAAATTATGGTGACCCTTTTCAAGGTTTTCTAGAAGTACTTTACCAGTCCCTTCCTTTGGGGACATCCTGGAATTGTGCTGCTTACTCAAAGGAACACAGACCAACTGTTCTACATACATAAGGTACAACTCCTACAAGGCACCCAGGGTAATTGAATGTACCAGGTACTTCAGCTCACTGAGCTTTCCAGCTAGCTTTAAAATAAATTGTGTGCTGGCAAGTCCTTTCCAATTAATGGCAGGAAACCCTTCTTGGGGTTTTCTAGATAGAAAAGATTCAAAAGTGGCCTACCAGTTGCTTCTTCTGGGTATGCTCTGAGACCATATACTGTAGCTTGTTCATGGCCACACAGTGTGGCCTACCAGTTGCTTCTTCTGGGTATGATCTGAGACTATATAGCTTGTTCATGGCCACAAAGTCTGGCTCTTCTCCCTGAAGGCATAGTGGAGAACTGAACTCCCAACCTTTGGCTCTGTAGCCAAGTACTCCACCCAGCTTTCATAAGGATTGTGCCTCCCCCAAAAGTCCAAATGCTGGCAGGGGGAGATCATGAACGTGACAAAAGGTAGCCAGCCTCCTGTACCAATACGACACATGGGTTCTCAGCATCAGTGTTGAAGGATTGCAACCACTAGGTAACAGTATTTTGACTTCAATTGGCTAAACTTAGTGAGTTTACTAAAATATCACCCCAATTCCCTGATGAAGGATTCAGGTCTTCTGTGTCAACTTCCTTCTCTTGCCAAGCAGAAACATGTTTGTTTTAAAGGCCACATGGGAAGAGGAGTGTGCACACAAGGCACACAAGCTGTAACCTTAAAACAGCAACCACAGCTTTCTGTACCTCCACTGATTTACATCTAAGAAAGATGTGCCTGGCAAAATCCATCTTGCCAAGGACTATTGGACTTTATATCTAAGAGTACTTTTCCTGCCAAAATCTATTTTGCCATGAACTTTGGGACTTTTAAGTTTTTCACACTGGCACAAGTCCGAAGAAGTGGGGGTTTTATTCATGAAAGATTTTGCGTTGTATGATGATTATTTAGTGGTGTGTAAAGGTATCACCTATTTTTGCATTTGTATTTTAAAGTTTAGACAACACAGCTCCCGTTTATTTCAAAATGGGAACAATCTGTGTAACTAATTTTCTTGTGTGTGTGTTCTGTGTTGTCAAGTCAGAACTGACTTGAAGTGACTCTAACAGGGATTTCAAGGTGAGATATTTTAAGGAGTGGTTTTACCTGTTCCACTCCTCCTGTGAGTTTCCAAGGCTGAGCAGGATTCAAACCCTTGTCTCCAGAGTCCTAGTCCATCATTCTATCCACCACACTGGGAATCCCTTATGTACAACCCAAAAATACACATTCAGTAACTCTGATTTGCAGTCACTTAAAAAAAACAACACACAAAGCATTTCTTTTCACAAAAAAAGAAACTTATGGGTATTAATTGCCGTAAAGAGTAAGTATTTTCATTAGCTTTTATGGCTTTGAACTTACAGTAAACTTGGTCTCTGCATTTCAGGTTACCAGATGCTGGGCTAACAGCTGGGGCTAGCTGCATTTTCTCTCTCACTGAAACTGCAGGAATGGCTACTCAATAATCACAACTGACTAAAAATTGTAATTAAAAGAAGAATTACAAGTGGGAATGCTCTGTTACATCCAGAAATAATCTAGCCTTCAACATACCAGTCTCAAACAAGGACTGACTGCAGTGTAGCAACAGGTTATAGTGACCACATAATTGTACTGTAAATGCTGGCAGAGAAACCCAAAAGAATATTTTTAGTAAAGCATTTCCTCCTGACATTTGCAAACCTCACCCAGTGAATGTCACCTAAACTAAGACTTCAGTGCTGAATATATGCTTGGCAGGAAAACTCCTGGGTTTACTTCTGAGAAATCAGCTATGTATTGTTCTGCAGAATCTCAAGAATTTAGAAATAGGACCATCCAGTTATCATTTATTTGGCTTTATTCATCACATGACACATAGGCACACTATTTTTTGAGGCGTAGGCATGTGTCCTAAGCACACTCCTGTACTGCAGTGAGTCCTGGACCCTTCGTGCATGGCAGGAGAGGAAGCTGAACACCTTCCATATGCGTTGCCTCCGACGGATTCTTGGTATCACCTGGCAGGACAAAGTTCCAAACAGTGTAGGCCTAGAACGAGCTGGAATTTTCAGCATGAATACATTACTGAAGCAGCGACGTCTACGTTGGCTCGGGCACGTCGTGAGAATGGCTGATGGTCGGATTCCAAAGGATCTCCTGTATGGAGAATTCGTGCAGGGAAAGCGCCCCAGAGGGAGACCACAACTGCGATACAAGGACATCTGCAAGCGGGATCTGAAGGCCTTAGGAATAGACCTCAACAGATGGGAAAACCTGACATCTGAGCGTTCAGCCTGGAGGCAGGCACTGCATCACGGCCTCTCCCAATTCGAAGAGACCCTTGCCCAGCAGGCCGAGGCAAAGAGGAAGTCACAAAAGCAGCAAAATCAGGGAGCCGGACAGGGGACAGATTGGATTTGTCTTCAGTGTGGAAGGGACTGTCACTCTCGAATTGGCCTTCTCAGCCACACTAGACACTGTTCCAAGTTCTCCATACAGAGCACATTACCATAGTCTCTCGAGACTGAAGGATGCCTACTAGGACAAGAATGTAATGTGATTGGGACTGGATTCCAGAAATGGAATCATCTTTTTCAGTGACTGAATTCAATTACTGACAATTTGCATGAGATTTTAAAAAGAGTTTAAATTAAGAGGAGACTTCTGGTGAAGGCATTCAGACAGCAGGAGTGACTCTGCTTCCAATCCAATCCCAGCTAAACATATTCTTTAAAATCATTCCTGCACTACTGATAAATCTAGCTGCTATTTTATAAACATAATCAGCTGGTGAACCGATATGTGCTATGTCAGGTGCAGCAATGGAATTTATGAGTTTAGCATCCAACCCATAATGGGTATTCTGACAGATTTAGAAGATAATAACTATCTACAATGATAACACGGACCACATCTTCCACCTTATGCATACTTTTAACAGCAGATTATGGGACACCCTTAGTAGCCGCCTAGAGTGGTCCTCACCTGACCAGATAGGCGGGATATAAATAAAATAAATAAATAAATAATAAATAAATAGAGCCCGGAAAAGTTTTGGAGGTGGAGGGATTGGTCAATGCCAGAATCTCCAGCCAGCATTGTTTTTATAATCTTTTTTTAAAAAAAATGTATTTCTTTGTCACTGCCCTTGAGATACCCTCAGTGGCTCCCCTTTGCTTATACAAGTCTTTGTCACAATTGTTCAACTGATTGTTCCTTCCTCAGTACAGTGGTGCCTCGCTTGACTACGTTAATTCGTTCCAGCGAAATCGCTGTAGAGCGAAAACTTTGTCAAATGAAATTTTAAAAACCCCATTGAAACGCATTGAAAACCGTTCAATGCATTCCAATGGACTGAATACCTGCTCGTCCAGCGAAGATCCGCCATACAGTGGCCATTTTTGGTGCCTGTAAAGCGAGGAATCCGTCCTAGAAAACAGTGGGGGGCCATTTTCTTCAGCCAGCAGCCATTTTGAAACCCGACGATCAGCTGTTTGCTGATCGTTGTAAAGTGAAGATCGGTTCCTGAAGCAGGGAACCGATCATCGCACAGCAAAAAAAAACCCATTTAAAACATCGTTTTGCGATGAAAACAGAGGCCACAACTTCTTTTTAAAGAGAGAGCAGGTGAACAGTTCTGCCCAACACAAGACATTACTGCTGCCTCCCATTCCACATATGTAAATTCAGCACTTATAATTAGCCTATTGTCCTCCACCAGCCTTGAAGTGGCATGCTTACTTAAAGCTCTGTTCTTTGAAATAACCAACAGCCTGAGAATTCATGAGGAACAGCAGAGAAGCTGCCACTGCTGCTTCCAGCATCTTCTGCCTTAAGCAGTCACCTCATACTGCCTAATAGGAGGCCCAGCCCTGTAAACAGCCAGAAATGACAAAGGAGAATTGCACTAAGTACAGACCTCCAGAGGTTGACAAGAGGCTCTTTTGAAGAGTAGAGCTCAGTTGATATCCAGCAATTTGAACCCCTGACACATTTACCACCATAATTCAGTGAATGTCCACACAGCTGTAAGGAAAGGAAGGCAAAATTACCCTACTGTGCATTATTAGATTAAGCGCAATATGAGCAATGTTCTCTTTTGAGTCATGGCTTAGCTGATTTAGATTTTTCCAGATTTATTTTGAAGTTCAGGTTGAACTGCAAAATCAGTCTTTTTGCAACACTGAATCAATGTTGTCAATTCAACCTAGAAATCTTTTGTCTTCTTTTTAAAATGCCTTTATCATAATTGTACTATATACATATTTTCCTAGGAAGCAGAAGCTTGCAACAACACTGTTTTGTTGTCAACTGCCTGACTGACAGAATGGAGTACAATCTTGCTCCCTCCCAAAAATCTATTGAGCAGTGATATAAAATATATGCATTTTAAAATTTTCATGGAATCAGCAATGTCCAGGAAATCTCTTTAAAAAAAAAAAAAAGTCAGTTTTTTCCCCTTGAAAATTCATTTTATAAAGCAGGGATGGAAAATCTTTAATTTATCAGATGTTTTGAATTTAAATTCCCGAATATTATGGCTCCTGGAACAGGATTGTGGAGGTACAGTCAAAAATATGTGGAAGTCAAAGATCCACACCCCTCCCATTGCTAGAATAAAATCATTTTGTTCCTACCCTTGAAGGCAGCAAACACTTTTATCTACAAAGAATGATTGGCTGTCAGTAATTGAGACACATTCAAGTTTATACACATGAAACTTGCGGACAGCTTATGTCACTTCCCATTATCATACCTATCCTCTTTCTTACCTGCAGTCATTGCCAAAGATGAGAAAAGATGTAGAAAAGTATAATTAACAATAAAGATGCCTAGTAAAGTGATTCTCTTTGTTATCTTCTCTGTGTAACAGTCAACACCTTCCAGGGAACACCAGGGAGAGAGAAACTCTTTCAACTAATCGAAATGCAAAATTCTTCCTAAGGAGATGAGCTCCTTCAGTACTTTTCAAAGTGTAATATCAGATCCAATATGCTATAGATCTGAGGGATATCTACCCTGTTGGATCTTGGATGAAACACATTGCAGCTGCATTCCAATGCAGAAGTACCTGTTTAACTCATCTGAATTACCCTGTATAAAACTGCACAACAAATGGCTTTGAGCCAAATAATTTCTCTTACCTAACCTGCCTCACATTCTGAGCCCTTTGGAGAATGGACAAGATGCACATATATCATAAAAAAGATTAACACCTTCAGTTTTGCTGAAGGTTATGGTCACATTCAAATACATTTATCTGGATAGTCTGAAGTCACTGACAACTCTTAAAAATGTAACATGGAAATGGCATAATGACAGCCTGCATAATAATCCAATGTGTTAAACCACTGACATCCATTATCTCTTACTATATCAATTGGGCCTTTAATACATCCAGAGCAGTTACTTGTTCAACATCTACTCCTGAAGTTTTAAGAAGGCTACTGCCTAGCACTTTGTTTAGTGGCAGCTCCCCCTTCATCAATTAAGTGGTCTGCAGACAAAATGATCTACAGCAGCTCCACATCATATAGAAGGCATCTCTTGATTTAAATGTGTAATGTGGTGCTGCAGTGTTTGAAAATACAGAATTGCAGATGCAACTTTTACTATATTGTTTATTGACATAATTGTCTAAGGTTGCTGGGGAGTTTTCTGTTGCTTCTCCTTTTGTCTTTATCATTGTTGGTTATTTAGTTTAACATTTGTTCATCCTCTGCTGTTGATATAGTTCTCTGTCAATTTCACAAATGAGGCTCCTTGAAGCTGCCTACACACATGTGGTATGCTGCCATTCCCAAACCATTCTCTTAGACACACTACCTTTTACAGCTGTTCACCATCTGAAAATCCTGCAAGTTCAGGGCAAAAAATGAGATTTATTCTGGTCAACTGTACTTGTACATAAATGCTTTTCAATTAACCTATTTAATAGGTTTCCTATTAACATCAGAAAGGGAGTGTCATAGGATGTATCAATGGGAATATTTTTGAATAAAGTTTCCAAAAGATCACCTAATAAATTCACTCCCAGGAGGAAGGACAACTACTCAGAGCTTGGAAAAGTTACTCTTTTGCACTAGAACTCCCAGAATCACACAGCATGCCAACACCATAAGCTGTGCCCATCCAAGGACAAAAAGCTGCCAGTCAGAAAAATTCCAGAAATGGGGGACCTGTGGCCATGCAGGTTAGGGGATTCTGGGATTTACAGTGAAAAAAAGTAGCTTTTCAAGGTTTGGGATTGCCTGCAGATGGAAAGGCCAACTGTCCTGATACAGGACAATGCAGGGATTAGAATACAAGTACAAATAGCATACACTGTAATAGATCAAAGCAACAACTCAATTCTTGAAGAAATCTGAGCATTATTGCAATAGATCTGGATTGCAGTTCTTTGTTGATTCAGGGTACCTCACAAAACTTGTTAACCACTGATCATTTCTTAAGGAGCAGTGTACAACCATACCTTCTGTGCCACTGATTATTCGTTCAAGTTCTTTCCCTTGGAGAAGGGAAGTTCTCTCCCCAATATAGTTCTGGTCTCTGCATCCTTGAAGCCCACATTTTTTTACACCAACCTCCTTCTTATTCATTTCCAATCCCCTTCTGAAGGCCATCCTCATCAAACAGGTGAAGGAACTCTTCCCCATCCCCATTAAGCAGACACAAATCACAGTATCCAACCTCCTTCTTATTCATTTCCAATCCCTTCTGAAGGCCATCCTCATCAAAGAGGTGAAGGAACTCTTCCCCATTCCCATTAAGCAGACACAAATCACAGTACTGGTGAGTCAGTCAGTAGCCTGAATGTAAACAGGGACTGCCAGCATAGCACATGAGCTCTCTGAGCCGGACTGTACCTCAGCCAGAGCAAGGTTTGATGGGATCCCACTACACTGGCCAGAGTTGCCGTGGTCTGAATCTGAAGTGGGCATTGCTGCTGATCTGCCAACCACAATGGACAGGACTGTGTCAGACTCAGGAAACTGTTCTTTATTGGGACCACTTTTTTGAGGGTTCTGTCCAGTTGCACTTTCTTTCAGTTCTGTCAAGGCCAACTGAGCTGAAAGAGGAAGTCCCACTTTCCGCCCACGAGTCCCCCACTTCTTCTGGGATTTTCTGACAGGCAGCTCTTTGTCCTTGGGAGAGCTCAGCCTACACTTGTGGTCCTTCATGTACTTCTGACGTGTAAAGCCTTTACTGCAAGTAGGGCAGCGGTATCTGTAGTTGCCAGTGTGGGCACGCTGATGTTCCACCATATGAGCTCGCCGGCTAAATGCCTTGCTACAGTATTGGCACTTATGGATCTTCATCCCTATATGAGGAAGAACAGAAACAACTAGGTTACAAAGGGCTTAACCACATGTCTCTTGCTTAAAGCCACCTAGCAAATTTATAATCAAGGTGCAATTTGAACCTGTGACTTGATGGCTCACATTCTTAGCTATTTCACTATACCAGCTCTACACAACTACATGGCAGATGCCTCTCAATATAAAACAAAGTGTATGAGATATAGAGTACTTTTTCCTTGAGAAGCAAAGAAAACTCCACCACTCTGAATGATTTCTGGGCAAAACTGAAGCATTGCAGAAAAATGGGGAAAAAACATGAGTTACTGAGGGCTTCATTTGTTTGTTTCTCTGGCCTCTGTGAATAGTACATGCTGTAGAAATTGAATGCATAACAGATTACTCATCTCCAGTAGTAGACAGAATTCATGTGTCTTAATCTGAGCTCAACAGGATAACCATACAATCCTGAGCTATATTGCTACCCCTCTTTACTGCATCTGAGAAACAAAAAAACCTAACAATTTTCCCCACAGTACAGTTATCAAGTGTCTGAAGACAATAAAAAGAACTCTTTTTCAAAAGAACATAGGAAGAGCCGGTGCCACTGATTTTTACCTGAATGGGACAGAATATGAGCTTTCAACTTGTCTGGCCTGTTGAATTCCTTGTTGCAACCTGTATGGTTTCTGCAAGAACAATACCAAACAAAATGAAAGCAATGTTATAGATGGGAGTTCCATATGTAGTTCCCTAATTCAGGAACATGCTGGTATTCTCCAGACATTTCTTGTGATTTCCCGTATTTTTCGCTCTATAAGACGCATCCCCCCCCAAAAAAAAGTGGTGGGAAAAGTCTGTGCATCTTATGGAGCGAATACTGTAAAAGCGCTACCCAGGGCCCAGTGGGAGGATGGTGGGGGGAGCCACAGAAGGGTCGGAGAGTGCCTTCCAGGACCCTTTGGAGGCTCATCCACCCCTGCT